ACAAACAGTCGTGGATTGAAATGATCAATTTATCATTAGCATGAGGCAGGATTGGGAGATTCTTGGCCAGGCTAACGCCATGGAATCTTTAACATCAACCTGAACCGGCAGACGGGACCTCAGTTTAATGTCTCAACCAAAGGACAGCACCTCTGACAATGCATCATCCCCCAGTACTGCCATAAAGGGTCAACTTAAAGGATTATGTGATTCTAAGTCCCGACGTGAGGCTTGAACCTGCCAACTTCTGACTCAGGAGGCGAGAGGGCTACCATTGCGTCAGACTGATACTACCTAGAACACTGCCATAACCTTGAGCGACGCTCTCAGAAAAGCTCTGCATTGCGGGAGCATGAGTTTAGGAGTGCCACAATTTGATTTGGTAACCAGCTAACAACTCACTGCCATTGAAATGGGGCAATTGGTTTACATCAACAGCATCAGAATAAGCAGAAGGGAAATTGGTTTGTAGCTGGTGTGTCTGACTAGTGGTATCTTTTTGTAGAGAGGAAATGCTTGATTATTTTACTCAGAAAGGACAACTGGCAACATAAACAACAAACCACGGACTAACCAGCAAAACCACGGACATTCTTGAATGCAAGTTTCAATGTTATCCGAAGATAGCTTTTTAAACTTCAGATAACAAGTGGTTAGAGCACTCGCCTTGCAAGTGAAAGACCTGGGTTTGATTCCCGGCAGGGCGAATCCTTGGCCAAGTTTCCTTACTCCACACGGCGGATAATAATCCCTCAAGAAAATAAATAATGATAATTTGGTCAATCAATGCATGAGTTTGTGGAACACTGCTTTTCACAATTGGCTGCCGTGTTTCGCCCACAAATACAATCAGTTCACTTTACAGTATATTCTGCGAGGCCCTTTGAGATGTCTAGAAGACATGTAAAGCTTCATATAAAAATAAAAGGATTATTATTAGTAGTAGTATTATGGTTTCAAGCCTCATGTCAGGACTTGGAACTCAAGTCTAGGCTGACACTACATTACAGCACTGGGGAGCACTGAATTGTTGGAGGTGCTATCCTTCAGATGAGACATTGAAACCAAGGTCCTGTCTGCCTGTCCAGGTTAAAGATCTCGTGGCACTATTCAAAAAGAAAAAGGAATTTCTCCTTATGTTCTGGCTAACAATCCCCTATGAAGCATTATTATGCACAAGTTGTCTTAGCATAAATTAGTGCTTCACAGAAGTTGTTCATAATGCATTATGCTTAATGCCTTTTGCTTATAATGGAAAATTACTGAACATTTATATAGCTGCACCTTTAATAATACTTACATTTGATATAGCGCCTCATCACGTCTTCAAGACGTCTCAAAGTGCTTCACAGAATATACTATCAACTGCATTGACTGTCTATTTTCTGGGAGAAATGCGGCAGCCAATTGCACACAGCCAATTTAAATGAAATTTTGCTTAGGATTGTACTCATGTAACTTTTGAAATGAATAATATCCGTCTCTTCCTTATCTAACGTCCTTGCTTGGTTTGGGACAGCAATAAGGGAAAAAAGGACCATATGGTCTTTGTCTTTTCTTTATCTAATGACTTTGCTTTTTCTGGAAAAAGGGATGTGTAACCAGATGGTCCTTATTAGGTGAGAAGTGAAAGCAATAAAACGGTATCTGTGAGGCAAACCAAATGGTCATGTAGTTAATAGTTGAAGGAAAAGTCATGAAAACTTAAGTTTGTTCAGGCGTATAAGCATAGAGCACCAACTTGCCAAAACCGACAACAGAACCGGGAGGTGAGGAGGTGCAGTACATACCATTTAAAGGAGAGAAATTCCTGTAACTACTTATTCTCTTCTTTTTGGTAATTATGCCTCTGTACAATAACAGAATTTTACATTTAATGAAACTCGCAGAAATGTTTGCCATTTACCCAAAACATTTCTGTGAGTTTGATTGTCTTGCGTATCTGAATACACTGACAATTCACTCCACGTAAAATTAGTCAAGTCACTTTATAGCCTTTTTGTGGAGCATGACAGTGTGCAAATTTACTGCCGCGTTTGGCTACAATTACAGTCACTACACTTCCCAGCAAATTCTTTGATGGTATAAGGCGCCATATGAAAAGCAATCTGAGATGGACACTTGTTGCTCAAGATTATTTCTAAGTGGCTCCGTCATAAACTTTCTGGCTCCTCTCGAGAATCTAAGCAAAGATAGACTGCTGGTCTCCATTAAGTGCTTCTAGATAGGTTCTAGCCCCATTTGAAGCAAACCAATGATTAAATCAGAACCGCTACCAATGATGAATCAAATGCAACCCTCAACCAGTCAGCCATTAGGGTGAAACACAAACCAGTCTTTGTGAGCGATCTGTTGCGTTAAAATGTTCAATTATCGAACAGGTGCAGAGTGCCCAAAAAGATTGTGTTAACAGTGAATATCCAGAGACAAAGGTTTAACATGATGGAGACCAGACCTGGTTATTCTTGGGCTGTATACAGAGCAAGGTAGAGATGACAAGGTACAGAAGGTTAAAGGGCCAGTGGCAGAGGTGGAACACACTGAAGAAAAAACATCTTCCACAAGTCTTTTCTTCATAATAAGTAATCAGTGTTGCACTCTTATCAAATCTTAAAGGACGCCATTAAAATTTGACAGGGATGTAGTGAACAAGAACAGCATTATATAATGTCCTTCGTCTTTTCGGTTCCCTGACTCTTTCAGTGCAAAATACCACAAGAGAAGCTAAACTGGACTCGACCATAAGACTTTGCGAATTCTTTCTCATTGCTGGAAATCACATAGAATTAGGAAGTTCTGAGTTCTGAGATCGCCACAAAGCAAAGCAAGCCAGTAAAATAGCAGAAATAAATAGCAGAAGAGCAAGTTCATGAAAACCTGTAAGTGTTTGAGATCTTACTTACGACTAGTTTCAAATCCCTATATTGGGGCAACCAAACGTGGTGTCAGAGGTGTTTTTCTGATGAGAAGTTAAACTGAGGTCCCATCTGCCTGTTCAGGTAGATGTTAAAAGATCCTATGCCACTATTCGAAAAGACAAGATGAGTTTCTCTCTCCGGTGTCCTGGCCAACAATACCCCAAATAAAAATGATCATTCACTTCATGGGTGTTTGTGGGACATTGCTGTGTGCTGCCTTTTCACCAACAAAATACTGTAATTTACAGAAAATCCTACAAAGTGCTTTGAGATGTCCTCCTGACGTGAAAGGCGCTGCAATAATTGCAAGGTTTATTGACAGCTTTCAGACCACCTTCTATTGAGGGTTGTCCTTTAACTGCCTGAGAAACCCAAGAGGCCATGACTAGAATAATTCAAGCTGAGGAAGCTGGATCCATCCACATCTTCAAGAGTGAGGTTGATTGATTTTTGGTAAGTCAGAGTATTAAGGGATATGGGGAGAAAGCAGAAAATTGGAATTCAAAGGATTAGTTGAGGTACAGATCTGCTATGATCTAGTTAAATGGCGGAACCGGCTCAAAGGGGTGAATGGCCTACTGCTGTTCCTATGTGAGTTTGGAGTATAGCCCACAGGCTGAAGCGGACACCAGCACATGAACACCCTTAAGCGGATGAAAAGATCCTTGTGAGAGGAAGACATGAAAACCTTCCATTGCATCCTGGAAGCTAGCAGGGCAGTCACCAGCAATTATTCTTCATGGTTCCTCTTGAGGCTTCTGCCACCAGTTCACCACAATGGCAGGTCTGGATATCCAATTGGCTCAGATAGTCTAACCACCCCGGGATCCTAAGCCACGATAAGAGGCGAGAACAAGGTTTGCTGGCTTCAGAATCAAATAGTCATCTTTGCTCATAATTTGCAAAAATAAAGGTTTGGACTATGAAAGGCACCAGGACACCATAGGAATCTGACTTGTGTAAGTGACAGGTCGTGCATCAAATGAGGGAGGGATTGAGTTGATCTGGTTAGTTGATTGAGAATTGCAATCGCATGAGAGCATGTAGCAATGACATAGCTAAAAAGACAATCATTTCCATCGATTCCAAGTGTGAGAGACAGTGGCTCCAAGGCATTTTTATACAAGTGTCAGCCTGACTCAATGGTAGTGATAAAAGGTTGAATTATCTTGGGCGCATTTGATACACTCTCGCTGCAGGCATGAGGTTGTGGGTTCAAGCCTCAAATCAGGAACCAGGAACTCGGTCTTAAGTTAACATTCGATTGCCGTGCTGGGAGGGGGGGAGCATTGCATTGTTAAACTTGTCATCTGATGTCAGATAAACCATCTGCCTGTTTAAGTAGACATTAAGATCTCAGGGGACTGCGCAAAAAGAGAAGGGATTTTCCTGATTTACCGGCCAACAGCCCCCACAAAATATAATTGGATCATTCACTCCATGGCTGTTTGTGGGAAATGGCTGTATGCAATTTGGCTGCCACATTCACCTACAAAAACCCACTGCACAAAAAAATCCTGTGAAGCATTTTGGGATATCCTCCTGACCTGAAAGGCACTATACCAAATGCAAGTATTATTATTTTATAAGAGGGTAATCAACGACTGGAACAGGGTTGCCAGGAAGTGTGGTTGAGGCCACGACACTGGACTCATTTAAAAAGCAGCTTGATGCTGTGATGGGGACATGGACGAGGGGAGAAACATTAGGGTGGGTGATCTGAAAGGATGAACGTTTGAGGGATGAGACGGGACGGGCCGAAAGGCCTTCTTCATGCGAACCGATCTTGTGAACTTGTGATGATTCCAGGTTTTTGTGTGGCGATTGATTGGAGAGGAAAAGAGTTGCTGTGCAGTAATGTTGGATTCCTCTGATCTCATTCTTCAAAGCATCTCATCAACGATGCAAAAAAATAAGTCCTTCCAACATGGCAGTGGATAGACAGACTGCATCTGCACTGTGTTCCTTTCAATGCAGTTCCCACATCTTAGGAATGTTGCTCAGAAGGTATGAAATGCATGTGATGAGCTCGAGCACAATTTTTGAAAGAAAAATACAAAAGAAAGACAAGACACGTTTTGATCACTTTCGAATCTTTATACAAAAGTTACACAGTTTGCAACGCGAATGGTTACATCTCAAACCTGCCTTTTCCACTTCCAGGCACATAGTAAACAACAACTTTGAAAACATTTAAACTTGAATCTTTTTTTAACTTAACTTATGAAACAAATTGCAACGAGTAACAAAAAAAATGTATACACTCTTGAGAGAAACACTTTAATTAATGCGTGTGTGTGTCTGATCAATGCCCAAGTTTAGCACGGACTGGAAATACGAGCAGTAAACATGGAAATACATTTGTCTCTGGAGTTGATTCAACTGAACCCCTGATAAAGAGAACCCAAACTATTCTAACAAATAATGCTAATGGAGTCGGGGAAACTGAGGGGAAGAACGGATGGATTTAAGGCAGCAATGAGACTACAGGGTTCTCAGCCCCCTTCCAAATCTCTTCAGTCACCTCTTTAAAGGGAAGGGGGGAAAGCCCCAAGAAGACCTTAGTCCTCTGAGCCCCAACCTGCAGGCCCCCTTCTCAACCATCTCCTAATTTGTTGGTGGCACCCGCCCACTTCTGGTCCCGGAGGGCTGCTGATCGGGGGGGGGGGGGGGGGCACTCACCTGTGATTGGCCAATGGACCTGTCAGTCAAGCCAATGGATCGCCAGTCTTAAAAGGCTTGACTGACAGATCCATCGAGGTGAGGACAACCCAACAAATTTTACTCAGCCCCCACTCTGCACCCCCCAAAATGAATATTTTCGTCCACCGCCTAGGATTATATTGCACTTTTGGGTGTAACAGTGTTGCCAACAAGTGGGAAGAGATTCCACTAGGGTCTAGGCTTCTCCTCTTACTTAGCATCTCACAACATCCCCAATCTGGCTAACTCGTGGAAACAAGAGCCTTGGTCTTGAAGCCAAGTTTTCTGCAAAGTACTTTTTAAGAAAAAAAACCAAGAAATGTGACAATTAAGAGGAAAATCTAAACCCGGGTTGAAATTTCCTTCCAACACAAGAACAGTCAAAAACTCTGTTGAACGACCGACAATAAATGCAGAGTTTTGCACATAGGCATAGTTTTGGTTCAACTCTGCTAGTGTTTTGGTCCGGCGAGCTTTCCCGCTGCTAGGACTTTGGCTCCTGGGGCTAACAGGAGCTGAGTGCTCAGTGGACAGCAACCAGCCTGCCCCAGTGAGCTCTGCCAGTCTTCCTTGCCAACTCCGCAGCATTAGGAACTAGCAGCATAAACACAGCTTCCTCGTCACTATTGCACCCAAAAACACTGTTAGTCCAGCACCGCCCAATAGGCGGAATGTCAACCTTAGACAAACAACACAAGTGATTCGCAGGGAAGCAAAGTTCAAGCAATTTATCATTTCCACGTGGACAATGAGGTTAGAGTCGGCTTTGAAACCTGTTAAAAAATATAAATCTGTTTTAACTTAAGAGGTAAAGTGTAGGGGGTGTGCATGGTTGGGGGGGGGGGGGGGGGGAAAGGGAGAACATTGAACGATTACAACAAGGTCAATGCTGTTGACAAGCTACACGCCAGTGTTGCGGCCGTGAGTTTTACAGTGAACCCATAAGGTGCTGTGCACAGAACTCTATGTGTTAAGGATAGGGCAATCCTTTCAATCCTTTCAACGGACCAAATGTAGCGTTCCCGACCCGGGAGAAGCAGCTCGATTGTCACTTCAGGCTGAAGGTGATCTTCGCAATCTGTAATCCTCTCGAGTCGAGGGGCGATCGATCAACGCAAAAATCTCTCTCTCTTTCTTCCCTGTCTCCCCACCCCGCCACTCACCCACCCCGGGGGAAAAAAAAATAAGGAATATTTACTCGAGTCTCTTTTTACATCAAACTTTAAAGAATTACGTTCCGTTTTAAGTTACACTTCCACCCTCACCCACCCCTTTGCGTAATCGTGTAGGAGTTCGAGGTAGTACTGCCATTCAGGTTCGCTGTCGTATTTCACCTCGTACACGGTCTTTAAAGGGTTTGGGTGCTTTTCGTGCAATCGGACCACCAGACCTTTGTACCAGGACTCTGATTTGTCGCTCTCCTCATAGAGGTGTCTTATGCGTTTCCCCACCAGGTTCGGATACTCCATCTCCCGGTGTTTTGCGAGGGCTTTAGGGTACTTCCTGCAGGTCGAGGCAGTTTTCCCGGTGACTGGGGGCTTCAGGGTGGTGGGCCGGCACGCGGACAATCGATGCGGCCTCTGGAATTTCAAGCGCACGATTGAGCTGCGGAGGTGCAGCACTTTGGACGTGCTTCTGGTTGGCCTCAAGGAATCGGCCTTGGCATTGTTCCTGTTCAAAACGCGACATACTTTGGTGACTCGGACAGGACTGGAATCCTTGGCTTCTCTCTCGCCCCCATTGGGGGTCACGGGTTTGGTGAGCGCCAGACTACTACTGTTTTTCTCACAGTTAGGTGTAGCGCTGGCTTTCGCCATCAACAGGATCTTCCTCTTCCGTAACTTCCTGTAAGATGGTTGGGGCGTCTCGGCCTCCTCCGCCTTCACCTCAGGGGTACTACCTCCATTGCTCCGCACGCCGGAGGGGCTCTCTGAACGCTCTTTAACCTCGTGCGCGCTCTGTGGACAGCATGCGACACGCGGCATCTTCGAATTCACAGAGCAAGGTATGGCCAATTTCCAACGGCGTTTGGTTCCTTTCACCCTGAGCCTCGAGCCCGTGACGCTAACGTCTTGCTTCTCCTGCGTGCAAGACGGGACGTCCGATACACTCTGTGGTTTTGCCCCAAACTCCCCGGGAGGAGGGTCCGACGGCTGATTGTTGCCGACGTCATCGCTGTTGCTCGGATCAGCAGGAGCCTGAGGGGGATCCGTGTCCTTCAGGTCTTCATCAATGTCGTCACCTGATACAAGAAATAAACAAGGAGACAAACAGTCGACCATTAGTCTCTCAGACAGACGACAGATTTACGAAAGAAGAAAAAAGAGAGAACGGTCAAAAGGAAACAAAATAAGAGAGATCTACAGGATTCAAAACACTGGTTAAAAAATACCTGCAAGGGAGCATCTAGATCACCACGTGAAGACAGATCTGCAAGAAAATTTACAGTCATCTTTAACTCTGAATACAACACTTAGACGTCTAATATACTCTCAACAAAGTTGGGGCTGATAACGTTACTTGCCTGGGAATCAAGGCAAAGCCTGAATGGTAGAACTATCAAGATACTCTGAATCGCTCTGTGGTCTAGACTGAAGCCATCAGATGGCAAGTCAATTGGCTCAAAGAGGTGTTATTTTATTTTGTATTATTTTATTTTAAAAGGAGGCGGTGGATCCATTGAGGATGGAGTCAGGAGGAGAGGGAAGAGGCCATTGAATAAAGATGGCCCCAGAGTTTGCAATCAAGTTCATTCCTCTCCCAAAGGAGATGCTACAGACCAGAAAGGACTTCATCTCAACCCCTGTTTTCTCTACAGAGTATCCACTGCTGTTTGTGGGACACTGCTGTGGGCAATTGACTGTCGCATTTCACCCACAAAATATTCAATTAACTTTACAGTACATTCTCCCACCTTGGCCTAGTGAGTAAAGACAGCGAGAGCCAGAAGGTTCCAGGTTTAAATCCTCGTCTGACTTGCTCTCGGGCATTGCTTGAGCACAATTAGCATCGGGCTAACAAAAACTGTTCCAATTCCAAATGATTAACTGATGACCCATTTACTGGAAAGTTGATGCTGTGTGGGCAGGTTGAAATGTGTCCATGAAAATTTAGAAAAAATAAATATCTGCTAGAAATTTAGTTTCACTTGTACACAAGTAGGAATAATAATAATAATCCTTACATTTGGTACAGTGCCTTTAACATTGGGAGGATGTCCCAAAGTGCTTCACAAGAATATGCTGTAAAGTCTTTGTGACCAAACTTATCTCTCGTCCTGTAAAATCCTTGTAAGGATTAAACATATTTACGACACCAAGCAGTTTTAATGCTATCAGAAAGCATAGATATTTATGACACACAAGAAGCCAATCGTGTGTGTGTGCTGGCTCCCTTAAGAGCAATCATTTCAGTCCCATTTAACTGCCCTTTCCCCACATTGATATATAAGAAAATAAGAAATAAGACGAAAAAAGACAGAGGCCCATCTAATTTGCCTTTCCACCTTCCTGGCAGTTACACGTCTCAAACTACCTATTAACTATATCCCACAATGTTATCACCTAAAAGAAAACTTGATACGGTATTTGTCCAATTCTTAGAGGTGAATATGAATTCTGCCTCAACCACCCTCCAGAACATTCCGTATCCACTCAATCCACAACTGCCGCGTTTTGCTCACAAAATATACAGTCAATTCACAGTCGACAGTATATCCTTTGAAACACTTTGAAAACGTCTCACAGACGTGATAAGGCACTATATCAAATGCAAGGATTATTATATTATTACTGTGCAAGTGAAAAAAAAGTCCTACTCTCTCCGTTTACCCCTTTACTAACTATCAGAATGATGCCTGTAGTTACTTAATATGGTAACTGGGGCAATTCTTTTTGTTAAAATGTACCAAAAAACACAGGCAATTGTTTGGCTCATTGCCTTATCTCATCAGGTCAAATGATTCATTTGTGAATTTCGTCAATTATTGGCCAGGCTGTGAGAGAACTCTTTGTTCTATTACAAATCTACGTCATGGGATCTTTATATGCATCCGATCTGGCAGACGGGTGTAGTTAAATGTCTCATCTGAAAGATGACGCACCTAACAATGGAGCGGGCCCTTCTCTAAGACTAACGTGGGGTTTAAACACACAACCTTCTGACTCACCAAATGGAACCCAAACCAACAACTTGAAACACAAAGCCACGGTCGAAGAATCCACCACAATTAGCATTTTACACCCAAGACCATTAGCTGAAGCTCATCATTTGAAAGAAAGCTGGAAAGCCAACAGTTTTTTAGTATAAAGAGTATTTGTTCACAAGCCCAGGCTGTTTGAGGAGACCTTTGATTAACATCCACCAGCAAGCAAGAAGATTTCAGATAGAAGTCGCTTAAATTTTACCCCAGCAAAGATCAGAAAGGATGGATTGATGTTATTTTTAATCTTACCTGTTTCCCGCAGTTGGTTGCACACAAATTAAGCTAGGTGATGATGTACCGTGCCAACAGCACCTTGTACACCACACGTATCCCTGACACACCAGAATTATTACACAGAACGTTACAGCTCAGAGACAAGCCATTCGGCCCAACTAGTCCATGCTCGGGTTTTTATTCCACACAAGCGTCAACCTCCCACATCTCTCTCTATCCGCTGATAATTGCAGAAGAGATTTGACAACAAGAAGTTACATTTACACAGCGCATTTCACGTCAGGAGTATGTCCCAAGTTGTTGGACCTTCAGGGGTTTGGAGCTAGAGCAGTGGATTGGGATCGGGTGGGGTGGGGGATTCACATCATCTTGACGACTAATGGCGACTAAGTAAATTGGGCATGTTCACGCTGGAGAAGCGATATGATTGCTGTCTTTAAGATTCTAAAGGGGCCAAACAATGTCAGGGAGAAGGACTCTTCATTTTATTTTGTTTGGTGTCTGTTGTTCCCTTAAAACTGCGCTGTGGCTGGATTATTGCCACCGTTTAAACACTTGCTGGCATTTGTCACACTTCAGTTACCACCAGGCACCGGCTCAGCACAGACTGCAGAACGAGCTCAACGCCCACGAGATTCAGGATCAGAGCGAATGCCCCGGCCACTAATTCCATTTGGGGAAAGAAAGACGTTGGCAATTTCCCTCGTCAACTTTGGTGCAAGGTGTAGAAACTGTGCAGAGAAGGACAGTTTTTTTTATATATCAAAGGCTAAAATGACTAGCTAACTGCTACGCATTTTAACGCGTCATCAAAAACATTTATGTAGCGCCCCCCCTTCACGCAGGGTAAAGTTCCAGACGCTTGACAGTGGCAGAATCTGACCCCGAGCTGAGGGGGTGGGGCAGGGAGGGAGAGGGGAGGTGACGATAAACACGATCAAAAAGGTAAGTCTTTAGGTGATTTGAAGGTGGGGAGGGAGGGGGGTGGGGCGGAGAGATTGAAGGAGAGTTTCAGGGCGTAGTGACTGAAGCACAGGCACCGATGGTGGAGCGGAGGGCACGAGGGACAAACGGGAGGCCGGAGGTGGCCGAGGATGCTGGAGTGGGGGGTAAGCAGGTCGGAGAGAGAGAGAGAGAGGTAGGGAGGTGCGAGAGCATGAAGGGGTTTGAAAACAAGAGGATCTCGGCTCTGTTTATGCCCTTAGAGGAAGGCTCTCTCTCTCTCTTGAGGGCAGACAGAACAACTGATGTGCGTCAATTAAAGAGCTTGAGGAGAGAAGGCAAAGAGCAGCATTTAACCCTTTTGTAAACGAGACAAAGCTTCCAATTTAATTGAAAATTACTCGAAAAATTCCACCACCGGATCTGGCAGTTCAGCGGGGAACCCGATCCCGGAATCATGAGCAAACAAAGAGACTTCGCTGCAACGTGCAAAGCCCGAACAAAGAGAGACAAATAATAAGCCGCATTTTCACTGAAGCGTTAATTCCGACCACACCCCACCACAAGATTCCCTACCCCCCCCCCCACCACCCCCCCACCCTCAGCAACAGCTGGACTCCACTTCACAATGAATCTGTAGCTTTTTCATCACTCACAACCTGTAGGATTTTGCCATGTTCCTCTTCACTCTCTCGCTCCCCCCCACCCCGCACCACACTTTTTTTCACTGGAATATGCTTCCACTGGCATGGTTGCTCTCTGGTACCAAACTTCCCCCCCCCACCCCCCGCTAGCATCCATTGACCATGTGCGAGTCTTGGCAGTTAGTGTCAACAGATCACTCAACTGTAGGTGGCTTCGCAGTCGAACCTGACCGCTTCCCACCTGGCTGCCACACAAACAACAACACATTACATTTGTATAGTTCCCTTCGCGTTGGGAGGACATCCCAAGGCACTGGACAGTCAGGGATTTGAACCTGAGCTGGGGGTTGGGATCAGGGAGGGTGGAGGGCAGGGAAGTAGGATGGTGGCTGAATGCGCTGTTGAGGAGGAAGGTCTTGAGGAGGCAAGGGAGGAAGCAAGACAAAAGGACTGTGAGATGGGAGTTCCAAAGGGTGGGGGGGGTGAGGAGCTGAAGTCTCGGCCGCCGATGTTGGAGCAGGCCGGAGCCCGCTGAGCGGAAAGGTTGGTACACACACACACACACACACACACACACAAAAACCAGTAGAGGGACCGGGAGGTAGAACCCTAGCTGGCTTCCCTCTCCCTAACCCTGGGATGATACATCATTGGTTGTATTGGTGTGAAAAATGATTTAGAGCTGATTTCCAGTGTCTAGTTAGTGTAGGAGGACTATTACAAGATCTCTGCACCAAAAGAAATGACCAATGATTAGTTCGTACAAGTTAGTGGCAATTTTAAATCCGTCTTTGCTGCAAGGTACAGAGAGAACGCTTGCAAAGGCGCAGCAAGATACTTTGAAGGCCGGGTGCGGATTCCCCGGGAATTGGCGTGAAAAGCGATTAACACCAGGACCAAGCCGGCAGAGAAGGTGGGAAGGAGGGCAGGACAAGGAGACAAAGTGGTTGAGGAAGAGCCTGAAGAGGGAGAGACACAAGAGATTTGCATGCAAGCACAGTCGAGTCAGGAGCAAAAGAACAATAGAAATTCACAGCACATTCAGCCCATCGTCCCTGTGCTGGCACGTTTAAGAGCAATGCTTTCAATCCCATTGAACTGCCCTTTTCCCCCACATCCCGACTGTATCTCTCTCCTTTTTTTAAGCTATTTATCCGGTTGTCTTTCGACAACCCCTATGCTGTCGACACGAACATCAAAAGTCTTGGATGTCATAGTTATGGAGTCACAACCTGCAGCGATCGATTGCTACCCTCAGCACACCCAAGGTGGAAAGGAAAGCAAACGGTACAGAATACTCACCGAGGTGGACTTTCAGACAGGAATGCCAGAGGACATTCAGCAAGTCGGGATAGATGTCGGGCAACTGTTTGAGGGATAGCAGCTTGATGAGCCTGGAGGAGCATCGCTGGAGCTGCAACTCGCTCTGTAGCTTCTTCTCCTCTGACAGGGTCGTGGGCCGGAGCTCGATCTTGTGCTCTTGGAAAACCTGGTCGATCATAGTACCATCGAGTTTGGAGAAGAGCTTCTCCTTGATCAGATAGATGGGGATAAAGATAGCCCCGGCCCGGATGACGTGCGGGAAGGGGCATCTCCGGGTGAAGAGGTAGGTTTCCAGGTGGGCAAGCAGTTTCTGCAGGGCGCTCTGCACCGGCTCGTGGTGCAGCCAGATCTCTTTGGACTTGGACATCTTCAGCAGCCCGTAGTTCTTTGTTCCGTTCTTGGATTTGGGTGAAGATCGGAGCCTGGGGTTCTCTGTGCCCTGGCTCTCCTCGGCCTCCACGTCCCGCAGGCAGAGACGCAGGACATCCTTGGAGGTATCGGTCACCGACTGGGCCACCATGCTGCACAGCGACTGGTGGAGACGCATGAAGTAGGCCTGGGGGTCGCTGTGCACAGACTCCCCGTTGTCGGGCACGAGCACCTTGCTCTCGCTCGGGGGAGTGGCGGGCTCCGGCTTGCGGCTCAACATGGACTTGGGCAGGTCGGGCAACAGCAGCTTCAAAGGTCTCAGCTTCAGCGACAATGGGACCAGGAGATCGACCGAATGAAATTTAATAGGTCCGGGCACCTTCTCGGCTGGCGGGGCTGGCGGGGCTGGCGCGGGTCTCAGAGTCTTGTACTTCTTCAGGTTAACGTGCCCTGTCTGTGACTTGGTGGCCTCATCGGAAGCCTCGCCTGCATTCTTCTCGCCCGGCTCTGCAGGCAACGGCTCTCGGCTTCCGGGTCGCTCTCCCTGGCTCGCGAGCTCGGTGACGACCTCTGGCAGTTCAGCGGGTGCAGCCGGTTGAGGGCAGGCAGACTCTTGCTTGGCCCCGGGAGAGGGGGAGGAGGCGGAGGATGAGAAGCAAGAGGACGGGGCCGGGGATTGCCAGGCGGCGTTCACGAACCGCAGTTTGCTTCTCACGCTGAGGTCCAAGGCCGTGTCAGGTTCCGTTCCGTTTTCCGCCGCGAGCCGAGCGTGCGGGCACTCACAGCTTGACCCGGGCATAAGCGGCAAGGGGGGGCACTCGCCGCCGGGCGGAGGTCCCTCGTTTTGGAGCCGGCCGCTGGGCTTGAGAGAGAAGTTCAGTGCTCGCGGCTGGAACTCGGAGCGAGCCCTCGCTGGGCCGGCCGAGTCGCCGGCCTCACTTTGCCCGCGTCCGCCCGTCCCGTCGAGGGGTTCCCTGCCCCCCTCGAACGGGTACCCGGTGGCCATTTTGGACGCCGGCCCGTTGGAGGCCGGGCTACTACGCCTCTCGCAGTGCAAGTCCTCCACGCCTTCCCCGCAGCCCGGAATCTTCCCTTCCTTGGCGCAGGTGCACTCCTGGTGCAACTGGCATTTCAGATGTTTGGTGAAGATACCCGAGGCCTCCAGGTAGGCCTGGTACGGCGCCAGGCTGAAGACGTTGTTGATGACGGGCATGGGTGGGGAAGCCGGGGGTTTCGACTTCTCTTCAATAACGGGTGAGGAATTCGGGCCGGGGGTTTTCTGGCGGTCCCGGCCACCGCGAGGGGATAGCTCGGGGGTGGAGTTTGGCGGCCGCCCGCTTTGGCCTTTGCGAGTTCCCTTCTCAACTTGCCAAGCGGGGACGGGTCGTAATCCAGGCTGGGCGGCAGGAGGCAGGCGCTCACCGAGGGGTCGTGGACGGCGGGTTCTTGCAACGGGCGGGGGGCCGGAGGGAGAGCGGATTTCTCTCCTGCCCCCTTCACGTGGCTCCCCGACACCACGGGGTGGAAGGCGCTGTGCTTACTGAGCAGCTGGCAATGACCGGCCTGGTCCTCGTCGGGGACAAGGTCGGGCGGGCTTCGGCGGCACCTTTGGACTTTTTGGGCGTCGATGATGACCCGCGGCCGGAAGCGCAAGACGTTTCCTGACGGAGCGTTGGGAGGGGTGTGGGCGCAGTCGTCCCGTTGCGAGGGGGCGCGAGACCCTTTGGCTCGGGTGGAGGCTTGGCGCGCCAAGTCCGGGGGCTGGTAGGCGGGCGGGATCAAAGGCACGGTGGTGGCGGTGGGGGGGGGGCCGGGGCTCTCGGGCGGCAGCACATGATAGTGCGGAGGCAGGTACCGGACGTTGTCGGGAAACAGGGGGAAACTGCCCGGGTTGTGCCGGTTGGTGAACAGGGCAGTGGGCATAGCAACCTGTCCGCTGGAGGCCGGGTACTCCACAGGCAGCCGGTAGCTCTGCGGCTGGAGGGAGTAATGGCCGCCGGTTGGCTGGCTCGAGCCCTGAACTACTTTGAGCTGGACGGGTCCTGGGAACTTGGGGGGCGAGGACGTGCTGTGGTACAGAGGGGGCGGCACCCGGGGGCAGTCCGCCAGCGAGTAAGGCTGCATCGAGATTTTCTGCAGTTCCTGGAGGCTGTGCACGGGGGCGTTGATGTGACTCGACCCATCCACGCTATCGTAAGACAGGGCAGAATACCTGGGGCCCTGCAGTAGGTTCCCGTTGAAAGCTCCGTAGCCTGGAGCCATCGCGGGGGGCATCCCTCGCGCTTCCTTGTGTTTCCTCCCGGCCGAGCTGACCTGCCTGGGCGCAGGCTCCGAGGTGTTGTCCACGGGAGGAGGCAGGTGACTGTACTGTAGTTGACGTACCCGGTGATTGTCGCCTGCCATCAAGCAGCTGGAAGATGCAGGAGGGAGGGCTCGCCACTCGGCGGTCTCCTGGACGCTCCGGTGATAGCGATCTGCGGGGTTCTCCAACGAGCAGCCGTTGACGGGGTAACAGGCTCCGTTTCTGTAGACGGGTTGCGGGACAGCTACGTTCATGCAGCTGCGCCCGGGAGATAAGACGGGGGCGCGGCAGCCAAGTGGCATTTGTCCCCGGGGGACGGGTGTAGCAGAACGGGCGGGTTCTGCCCATTCCTCAGATTCTCTTGACGTTCCACGAACGTGACCCATTTCAAACGCACGTTCATCAAATCCTTGACCAGGTCAACCTTCCTCTTCTCGCTGGCAGCCGACTGGTGAGTGGAGGGCCTGCCCTCGGGCTCCACCCTGTACAAGTGGTCGTTGGGTTGAGGACCATCGCCGGGCGGTTGGGCATGGAGATGTGGATTCCCCACGTGCGTCAAATACTGTGGGGGGTGGTTCCACACCGTGGGCAGGTCAGGCCCTTCGCGGTTGCGCAGGTGATAAGCTAAGTACGTGCCTGCGTATTTCAGTGGATTTTCAGGAACGTACGTGGTTAGTGGACTGGGCTTGCAGAGCTTCGGAGACCCTGCGAGGTTGAGTTCCTTCTCCAATCGAGGCATCTTGCTCCGGATCAGCGATTCCACGTACTCCAGATTTCTTTTATTGGCCATCATGGTGCTTCGCGTTCCCCTCGTTCGCTCTCTCTCCGTCAGACGAAGGAATCGAGGCCTGACCAAAGAAACGAGAGAGAGTGTGTTAATGTATACGCAGGTTGTTGGGATAGAGCGATCACAGCAAATTAATAATAATCCTTGCGTTTGATACAGCGCCTCATCACATCTTCGAGACATCTCAAAGCGCTGTAAAGTGAATTGGCTGTATTTTGTGGGTGAAAGATGGTTAATTTGTGCAATATGAAGAGACCCTGCTCTTCCTTCATGCTTTCAGCCTCCCCCACCTTCCTTGCCCACCCCCCCACCCCAAAACTCAGGGAGCCCAGTGAGTCACGTGAAGCCCTTAGCAACATCTTCCCAAGGTCAAAGGCGTTGTACAAGTGTAAACTGCTGGTGTTGAATATACCTTTCAGGCCATTAATACAGTCACATAACTCTTCTTTACAATTCGTACAATCGGCCAAGTTGTACATTCACCCGAGGCCCATTCAGGTTCCTATCAAAACACCTAGATTTCTTTGCACGACTCATATTAATCACCTCCCAACTCGTAACCCTGCGCCCCAACCCTCCATTACTCCCGCACTTACCGGCTGCCTTAAATCGCGGGAAACATAGTGTTGATCAGTCGCCACAGGGGCAGAGAACTTAACTCCCCGCAATTCAATGTGATCACAACGCTCGCCTTTAAGTGCGCGTGCGGCGACGGGTCGAGGCGCATTCAATCGCAGGAAACAGGCTTGACCCGTCGTCGCATGCTGGCTGCATTGAATTACGCTCGCGCAGTGTAGATTTTAGATTAAATCGGATTTTAGACCATTTACACTTTGCCTGCAACTTGGAGACTTTGTGCAAGTCATAACAACAACAACTTATATAGGGCCCTTTTATATGTGGGGTAGCGTCACAGAGCCTTATTAAATGTCATATTAAATGTTATGGTCACGACTGATCCGACTTGTGTTGAGTCTTACTGTGTACAGCATTCTTTTCCTCCTCCGTTCAGAAAGGAAGATTTTACCCTTGTGCTGGTTTAATGAGGTTCCCAGCTCAATCGTCTAAGAGTGACAGAAAAACTAATCTGCGGCAGTGAAACTTCTCATTGATAATGGCTTGGATTTTTTTTAAAAATGATGCCGTAGGCTAACAGACCACTTCAAAGCACAATCACTGGGCTGCCAAGACCTCAATTTCCTCTCATTAGGAATTACAATACAAGGACACAGCACGGAGGTGAATCACAGACCAATCTTAGCTTGGCTGATAGCAATCTCACGACCAACAGTAGTTTTGCGTGATTAAAAGATAATCGCATCTTTCAGATAAGACGTTAGATCTAGGTCCCACCTGTGTCTGTTCAACACTGTACACTTTTCTTTGTGGGACACAGCTGTGCGCAATTGGCTGCTGCGTTTCACCCACAAAACACACAGTCACTACATCCTTGCTTTGACAAAGAGGTGGGGTTAATGAAACACATCACCTCTGGCTGAAGGTTTACTGAACCAACAGCAGATAGCACTTGGTAAACGAGCGGCTTCAAGACACCAAATCCAGTACTTGGTCCCATTCATTGCACAATGAGCCAGTTAATCCCCTGGGATGGGGGACACCCATTTGTGACCCCCATTTTACAGAGAAGGGAGAATTTAGTCAAACAGCGAAACGCTAAATTTAACATCACAGTGGTTGGTGGAAAAGTCCCATTTCCTCTTCAGTTCTTGACCTCCCCCACCCCAGCACCACCAAAACAAGTGTACACCGGCCGTCAGTCATTTCTGGTGACTAGAAAAAAGTGCAGCGAGATTCTCCCATTATAACTCAACGCTCAGCTCTTCCAGAGCCCAGCAGGTTAAACTCTGGCTTCGTTCCTCTCTTTTTGCATCACCGTATTCTCGAGCTTCTCGTTCACGTGCTCGCATGTTGTCTCAACACTTTTGCGATCAGCAATCCGTCAGTCACTTCATGCCTGCTTGTGGGACATTGCCACACGCACATTGGCTGCCCACATTAATCAACAAAATGCACCCTCACTGAGCTTTAATAACATAAGCCTTGTGTTTCATACATCTCAAAGCTCTGTTAAACTTGCCCCATTCCCTCCGAAGAGCTTACACGCTCGATCCTGAACAACAGGTGTACACAAAACGTAAAGTATTGGAATTAAGGTTTATTACAAAGGTTTTGGTGATCAGCTCTACACATGTGTAAGGCAGAGCTTCAGGATTCTCTGACTGTTTTGCTTCCAACAATTATGGAACTGCTCCTTTCTTATGTTCCATTTCTGTCCACTGCAGAACTCTGAAAACAGAATGATCTCATCTCCTTAATCACAAGGTTCCCGGTACCAGGCCTCACCAACTAATGAGCATTTCGATGATCCGTCAATGTTACCTTATCTTTCCTCTTATTAACTAGCACACATTCCTCTGGTCGGCTTTGCATGAGTGTGTCCCAAGGCTACATGTAGCTCATCTTTTCTTCGTTCCTCTCACTCCTGACTGCATGCTTCGCCCATTGATAATCAATTAAAAAAATATGGTCACTCAATCTACGACTATTTATGGGACACTGCTGTGTGCAATTAATTGGCTGCCGTGTTCGCCCAGGAAATATACAGTCGATTCAGTTTACAGTGTTTTCTGTGAAGTGCTTTGAGACGTCTCGAAGATGTGATAAGGCGCTATATCAAATGCAAGGATTATTATTATTGTGATATGATCCATCTGGTCAACTATCTGTGTGGCCTCCCTGTGACCTAGTGGGTTACCCCTTGCAGCACCGACATATCTGACAGCTCTTTGAGACATCCTGCTGACACGTTAAGGCACTGAATCACATGTAAAGCTTTATTATCATCAAATACGCAATGTCAATCACCATTTCATTGATTATTCTGAAGGAGGTGAAGGGCCAACACTTGGAGCTGGGTCAACTATCGACAACAATATCACCACGAAAGAAGATGAGGATAGATTGGCTTCATGGCAACCCAAATTCCCACTGTTTTAATCACACATTATAGAAAATAACCTAGTAAATCAGTTGCAAATGTGCTCAGGTAATCTAGAACGTTTCAATAACCTGCATGAGGTCAAAAGCCTCAACTGTGTGTGTTTTTTTAAAATAATACATGCTTTCCAGCATTCCCAATACACAGTCTCGACCTTACACTATAGCCTGTGAAGGACATTGAGAGGTCCTGCTAAAGAAGAGCCTTTTCTTGTACCGTTGCCAAATGTGCAGAGATGAAGGTGAACCACACGAGATGCAAGTCCAAATCAATGAATAAACCTGATGAAACTATTACAACTCTTTCAATGCATCCACTGCGGTCAAGTGTGAAAATCTGCCGCTATGCCAAACCACCACAAGGTGACACACTTGTGTCTCTGCCCAGGCTTTTCGCAATGTTCGTTCAACAGCTTAACAAAACCGACCAAGTTTCAGAACAGAATACAAGGAAAGTATTTTTCGCTGCATGTACACAACGTGGAGAAAACCCAAGCTTGTTGACGGTCAACAGATCTCCCTGTTCTCTTCAGAACAAAGTTTGGTGCAAGAGAACCGAAGCTTATTTTACTCTCCTTTTGGCAGTCGCTGCTGGGTTAACTGTAATAAGAGGGAAGAGGCAAGAATCTTAGAAACAGAACTAGTAATGAATCAACGTAGTAATCGAGATAAGACAGTTCCTTACTCACACCATTTTCAGTCAACTTTTCAAACAAGTCCTATTCCTTATGAGTACTAATGCTGCAATATAAATACTCAATGAACAAAAGTGCAAACAAAGAGTGAACACACAGAACAGGCCAGGACTTAGAAAAAAGTACCAATGATCTAGTAATGCCCTTGGTATTGTATCCTTGGTTTGTGTGTCCCTTTCAAGTCGCAACTTGCAACGCAAAAACGACTTCCAACAACCTTCTTCACGTCAGAATATTCACTCGCTCGCCACACAGAAACTGGTGGATTATTAACCCTGCGATTACAAGCCACGGGGAAAGTCAAGAGGTTGAGAAAATCCTTGTCCAAACAGCAAAGAACACTTAAAAACAGGGGAACAGAGGGAGGGAGAGAAAATAAGTTGCGGCACGTACCATTATAAACAGGGACTGACTTGCTCCATGATTTAAATCCCACGGATAAGATTTCAAACAAATCAAGGGATTAATCGAAAGGGGGTGGGGGGGACTTTAAGAATCTCGACCCATGTTAGTACTGTGGCTGACGCTATAACAAATGGGATCTCAGCCTCAGTTGCTTGTTTGCCAAATGCAGAGCGCGCTCACACACACACACACACACACACACTTGTGACGGCACTTACAAGGAGCAGCCAATAAGCAGTTGCCAAGTACTCCTCTTTGAAGAACAAAACTGAGCAGAGATTGCGAGGTTTGTTCCAAAGCCCATTCACTGGTTACGAAGACACTGCGTTCCGAGAAATAGCGAACCCTGTGGCTCTCCTCCCCCTCCCCACCACCAAGACCGAAAAAATGTTAAGGTAAAATTTAGAGGCACACAGAAAAATCCCACAGAGCGAAAGTAGTTAAAACTCGGCTTTCTTGCCTGGTGATTGCTCTCTCGGTTTCAGCTATAGGTTTTCCCACCTCTGGTGACATGTGAAACCAGTCTTCTCACTTTCATTCCTCGCTAGCTGTATTTTCAAATGAACCAAGTCATTCGGATGAGATGTTAAACCCAGATCCCGTCTGTCTGTTCAGGTGAAGGTTAAATATCCTATGGCACATTCCGGAAAGAGAAGGGAGTTTCTCTCTCTCCCCTGGAGTCTTGCCCAACAATTCCCCAGACAATGGTCACTCGCTCCATGGCTGTTTGTGGGCCATAAGAATTTGCCGGCAAAAGAAGACCAAGGTCCATCCACTTCGCCTTCCACCATCCTGGCAGTCGCTTGACATGTGGTGTCCCAAATTGTGTGCAACCGGCTGCCACAATATGGATCCGAGCAGAGGGTTGGGATCAGGAGGGGAGGAGGGCAGGGCGGGTACGGCTGTGAGGGTGGCCGAATGCGTGGTCGAAGAGGGGGGTCTTGAGATGTGCCTTGAAAGAAGCAAGGGAAGGAGGGCGGGCGAGGCGGAGGGACTGCAGGGTGGAGTGCCAGAGGGTGGGGGCAGAGCGGCTGAAGCCCTGACCACTGATGGTGGGTGGGCGAAGCGTGAGACATGGAGCCCGCTGAGTGGAAGGAGCGAACAGGTTAAATAAATACTGACGTGTTGCGTTCAAACACGGTTTTGTTTTAAACCTTCTCAGTTGCAAGAGGCTTGCTCACGTGAAGGATGCCATATAAACGTAAGCTCCAAAATTCAAGGGCGCCCTTTCACAATAGCAAAATAACAATGTTTTGCGGTTTGATAAAGAGCCTTATCACACCGTCAAAACATCTCAAAAGGGCTCCTCAGCATTTGCTGTGCATTTTGGCGACTGTATTTTGCAGTCTGCGCCCAGCAAAGTCCCACAAACAGCCGGGAAGTGAATGACCAATTTTATCTGATAAACTCCCGGCTCTTTAAGAATAGTGGCACAGGATAATAAAAAATGTGTTTGACAGAGATCCTTATCACGTCGTTGGGACATCTCAAAGCGCTTCACAGAATACACTGTAAAGCGAATTAATGGTATATTTTGTGTGCGAAACGAGATAGCCAATTGCACACAGCAGCGACCCACAAACAGTCGTGGATTGAGTTGACCAAGTTATTATTATAATTGAAGGGATCCGCCAATTGACTAACAACTACTGCTGGATAAACAGAGCATGCATGGGCGAGTTGCTTTTGACATGAGAGCCATGAATTATCAGAATGCATTGTTCTGCTATCAAAATATTAATGTGGAAACCTTGAAGAAAGGGGTTGTTGACTGCATTCGGAATCCGAGATAATCAAGCTCACTGAGGCATTTGCTCGAGCTTATCGAGCGAAACCTTAGGCAAGTTTCAGTAAGTAGGAACCTGGTTTGTCGGTCAATTTGCGGATCGCTTTCCGTGGGTAATAATTCCCCCCAAAACAATTTTGTCACTCAATTCACCACTGTCTGTGGGACGCTGCTGTGTGCAATTGGCTGCCGCGTTTCACCCACAAAATATACAGTCAATTTACTTTACCGTATATCCTGTGAAGCGCTTTGAGACGCCTCAAAGGCATAATAAGGCGCTATATCAAATGAAAGGGTTATACACCAGCCACAATTATAGTCTCCCCTACGTGTTTACTTAACCTTTTTTTCAACTCTTAACTGCAGGATCATCTGGTTTGTTTCACAAGATGCAGTCTCCTGGTTTTTATGATCTCACCTAACTAAGACAATCCCATTTGAACATTCCTTCTCTGCATGGCGGCACTTGTACAAACAAAGACGTTAGATAAGGAGACTCGGATTTCTTTTAAGCATGACCCTAAAACCATCTATTTATCAAACATGGGCACCAACTACTCAGGTTCTCTCACATGACAAAACACATCTGGTTCCACATCCTCATCGTCCTCGTTACCATCCCAAACCGAGCGAGGAGAAGATGAGAAAATTATCAACACAAGCTCAGTGAAATGTCCATCAGTTTCAATCACGGTCAAACAGTACCAGTACAGTGGTACACACCCGTAAAGCGTCAGAAACAATTTATTATAATAATCCTTGTGTTTGATACAGCGCCTTATCACGTCACTAAGTCATCTTAAAGCGCTTCACACAACACATTGTAAAATGAATTGACTGTATTTTATGGGTGAAACGCAGCAGTCAATTGCGCACAGCAGCGTCCCACAGACAGCCATGGATTGAAGTGACCAAATTATTATCAGCTTTATTTTTTTTTAAATTAGTGGGTGAATTTCAACCACATGTGGTTATTACAATACTCCTTGTATTTGATAAATCGCCTTATCGCGTCTTCGAGACGCCTCAAAACGCTTCACAGGATAAGCGAATTGACTGTATGTTTTGTGGGCGAAAAGTATTGGGCTCTCGTTCCTTTAGAACGTTACAGCTAACAAAACACACCCGCTTGCTTGCGTGCGTGCTTACTTACGATTCTGAACCTGAACAAGCAACAGAGCAGTCAAGTCAATAACTCGGGAGAACGGAGTTTGCACGTGCCTTGCACGTGCCTGGAGTCAGGAGACTGCCACTCAACACAAGATCTCAACGCTCTCCAGACTTTGGTTCCGAGGTCTCCTTCCCCTGTCTTAAGTCTTTGGCTCAGACCCAAGCTTGCAGTTTGTATCTCTTGGCAATCACCCTCTCCCTTTATGGTATTGGTAGCCTCCGGCCGAGCCAGGTGACACACCATTCCTTACGTTTCAGGCTTTCTAATAGGCTTGTGCTTGCAATCTGTATCGTTCCGCCTGTTATTTTGTCCCAGGGCTCTCGCTACAGCATGGCCCGTCCACAGGAGAAACTCCTGTCGCTACTTATTCTGTTCTCTGAGCTGCTAACGGTTCCACTTCTGTACAATTAGAGGCATTAAAACTCACGCAAGGCTCGTCAGAGCAGGGGCCTCGATTTAACGTCTCGTCTGAAGGACGGCACCTCCGACCCTAACCGTGCAACACCCCCCAGCGCTGCACTGGAGCGAGAGCTTAAGAGTCTATGTGACTCCGACGTGCAGCTATGACAACTGTCTTGACTCAAGAGACGAGAGAGCTATCACAGATGACACCCCAAGCCAATGAGGAAATTCACACGTCACACGGAGAGGAACAAAGGGAGGTTTAACGTCTCATAATAATTAATAACAATCATAATAATCCTGGCATTTGATGGAACTCTTCACAGGATACACTGTAAAGAGAATTGATTGTGTATTTTGTGGACGAAATATAGAAGGACAGCACCTCCAACAATGCAGCACTCCCCCACCAGCACTGCACTGGAGCGTCTGCTTAGACTATGTGAGCTCAAAGTGAACCCTGGCGATGGATTTCCGCACGTGACAAACCTATTGTGATCTGCCTGATCCACAAGAGTAACCACTGAGTAGCGTCATGCCAATTGGTTGCTTGCCAGCAGGGGACGCAGCATCAGTCCATGGCCGTGGGTCCCCGTTGTTGCTTGTGTTTGAAATAACGTTACATTCCTGGTGTCAATGGACAACCTCCTCCCTCGCTGCAGACACTCACTGGGCTCGGGCTTGTGGCACTGGTTGGGTTAATCAGGAAGAGGTGTGGAATGCAAACTCAACCATTACTCATCCTGGAGAGGGGATAACAGGACACGTGTGGTGTCTGAGTGATGCAATATCACATTACACCTCTGAAACTATCTGACCAGCCCAAAGAAAAACACCCTGGAGCGGGTTATCTTTAGATCCAGACAGTCTGGCTCGACGGGGGGCAGAACAGTACTCGATTCCTTGCCAAGCTCCATTGGCTCCCAATTACCGAACGGATCGGTTTTAAGATCCTCTCTATCGCTTTCAAATCCCTCCATGCCCTCGCACCTTCCCACCTGCTAACTAACCCCCTAACCCACCACCACCTTTTGCCTCCGCTTGGCTGGCTCCAGCCTCCTGTTTGTTCCTCGTCCCCTCCGCTCTACCATTGGTGGCCGTGCCTTCAGCCACTACACCCCCCAAAACTCTGGAACTCTCTCCTTCAACCCCTTGGCCGCCTCCCTCCCCACTTTCAAATCCCACCTAAAGACTTTCCTTTTTGATCGTGCTTACGGTCACCTCCCCCCCACTCCTCACCCTGGCGCGGGGTGGGCTTACTGTCCAGCGCTCCGGGGTGCTACCTCGCGTAAAGTGCGCTACGTAAATGCAAAGTGTTGTAGCATTGTTGGAAGTGCCGTCCTTCGGATGAGACGTTAATCTCTGTATCTATTCAGGTGGACTTTGACGATCACACGTCATTAATCCGAAAAGAGAAGCGAGTTTCTCTCCCCCGGTGTCCTAACCACCAATCCCCCAAATAAAATTATCGTTCACTTACTTCACGGCTGTTTGTGGCACATCGCTGTGCTCCGACTGGTTGCAGTGCTCGCCTGAAAAAAAATACACAGTCACTACACTTTACAGCGCTTTCTGTAGAGTTCTGCAGTGACGAGAAAATGTTTGGAAACTGTGAAGCGCTTTGAGACGCAGTCCTGACGCGATGAGGCAATTGACGGGATATCAATTGCAAGGATAATTATTATTAGTTCATATTTCTGTCTCTGTGGACGCAAGGACCCAATTTGGCCACCGCAAGCCTAGCCCCTGAGCTGAAAGTTTCTGAGTGCGGCTTGAACCCATAATCTACTGAGTGGGAGGCGAGTGTGTCCCCGGCTGAGCTAAGGCTGACACCTACAGTGGGAGGAAAGGGGTTGATCAGGTCAAATCAGACAGGTCCAACAGTTACAACAACTTACTACCCTTCACACGGGGTAGGATCTGAGCGCTTACGTTATTGCAGAACTGAGAAGAATTCCATAGAACGTTACAACACGGGCGTAGCTAGTTTGTGCACCGCGGTAGAACTTAAGCTACAGTGAAAACTGATACCAAGACAGCAACGACAGCACCTGAGTTCAATTCCAGGCAGAGGGCGAAACCTTGGGCAAGTTTCCTTACTCCGCACAGAGCCTAATAATAATCCCTCCAATAATAAAACAATAATAAATTGGTCATTTTCAACCCACGACTGTTTTTGGGACATTGCTGTGCGCAATTGGCTGCCGCGTTCGCCCACAAATATACAGTCAATTCACTTTAGTGTGTTCTGTGAAGCGCTTTGAGACGTCGAGAAGAACGTGAAAAGCGCTATATATGTGTATATAAAAAAAACGACAAATGCA